CGAAAGTCTTCTATACATTTCATATCATTCTCAACTCTAAAGGTGTTTTAAAAAAGCAAAATTATTATTATCAATTATAAAATATGGCATGTCATCATGATGCTTTGCCAAATTACCGATGGCAAAAAGTGATTCAGAAAAATCTTTACATTCAGAATGTGAAAAAAGGCTTAGATTCAATCTTTAATTTTATACTAAGAAAAAAGTGGTAGATAACTAAAGATATACTAAAGATACAAAGTTTAATAATTCTGTATACTTTTAATACACTATTTCTTTTCCGCACTCAAAAAGAGCAGTTTTAAATAAGTCATGAATTACAATCATTTGGCATATTTGAATGCAGTATATATATGATTTTACAGCTATTACTGTATTTAACTTATACTTCAAGAGATATGTTTGGATCCAGATTACAATATATTCCTCAAAATAACTGATGGCTTAAAAAAAGCAATTCCTACTCAACCAACGTTTCACCACAAAAGAAAAAGCTCTATCTTTGCTCCTATTCAATTGAAGTCAATAATTTGCAAACACGCACATACACCCCCCCACACACAAAAAAGTTTACCAAAGCAGAGATCAGTGAAAACTGTAAGAGCTAATAATGCATAGTGAACTAAAGAGTGACCAAATTAGGATTCAACAAGCTCTCCAGCTAAAATGAAAGACTAAGACTAACACAATAAAATTTAATAGATCTAAAGTCCTGTGTTGAGGTTAAAAAAATAAACACAAGGGATAGAATGGAAAGAGAGCAGATGACTTCAGAAAAAATGTTAAAAAATTAACATCCTCTGTGCTGCTTAACTGCATAACTGTGTGCTGCTTTAGAGCAATAAATACAGCCTTATTGTTGTCTTTGCTCATGAGACTAATATGGCTCCAGCACTGAGTTAATTCTAGGCACCATCCTCTAAGGCAGCAGTCCCCAACCTTTTTGGCACTAGGGACCGGTTTCATGGAAGACAATTATTTCACTGACAAGGAGGTAGGGTAAGTGGGCAGCAGAGCTACACCGACGGGTAGTGGTCCGCGGCCAGTGGGTTGGGGACCGCAGCTCTGAGGGAAGAATTAACAAACTAGAGTGATGAAGATTTCATTTACTTATTTAATATACTTACATAGTATTTACTGTCTCAGGGACTATTTTAAACACTTTACAAACCAAGTCATAGGAGGAATGGATACAGAAGTTAGGAATGTTTAACCTGAAGAGGAATATGATAGTTCTTGTCAAATATCTAAAGGACTATCAGGTGGATGAAGTAGCCCATTTATTTGTGTCATCACATAAAAAAGAAATAACAAACAAGAGTAAGAGATTTGGGCTGTACTTTTAACTCTGAGAGCTGTCCAATGTCACAATCTCTTTGCAAAGCTATTTTAAGGACTAAATACGGAAATATATATTAAAGAAATTTGCTATAAATTGCCACATACACATTATTAGAATTGACTTCCTTGCAATATAGTGGGTCCCATTCAATAGAAATAGTTACAAAGAGGCTGATCATCCTTGCTATTAGTTTGATTCCTAGCTTTGTAACTTATACTAAATATGTAACTTCAGCAAAGTTTCCGTGCTTCTCTAGGCTTCACTTTTCTCACCTTTAAAATGAGCACAAAACCATCTGCTTTGCAGGGCAGTTGTGAGGATTAAATGTTATAATGTATAATGCTAATGTAAACACTTAGCACCCCACTGACACACTCAATAAATTGTATCTATAATAATAATAATTACTATCATCATCATCAGGTTGTGAAAGGAATCCCTAGAGTAAATATAAAACTATGTGATACATGGCATAATTGTATGACTCTGCTATGCACCTGTATGACTGTATGATTCTGCTATGCACCTATCATGTTATAACAATCCAACAATATTAGCTCATTTTTGTTTGAGTGATTTTTAAAACATTTATCTTTTATAATTTGAAAGGAAACATATCCTAAAAATCTAAATAAAGCATCTAGGTAAAATATCATTATTGCAAGTAATAATGTAATAATGCAACAGGGAAATTAAGAAGCTAGAGGAGAAAAACAGGAACTAAAGAAGCAGCACGTTAAATAGAAAATACTCTTCCCAGGAGACTTCACTGGAAGAGATTAGAACGGATATATTGCAGGGAGGAAGAGAATTGCATTTTCCACAGGTACGTGAACCACTGGTTATAGTCATCAGAAATATCAACAGTATAAGGGCAGCTAAACACAAAAGTTCCTTTAAAAAAAGTGAATTTCAGTGGGCTAAGGGCAAAAGTTTAAGGGTATAGAGGATTCTAATTACTTTGAACAGAATTTGAAATTTAGCAAATGTACCCCTAAACATTGGATTAAAGAACGTGGAAGCCCAACAACCCTGCAATTCAGTCAGTACCTTCTGTAATATTCATCCATCTCTTCTTTTAAAGGAAGTTAACTCTCAAAAGGAATCTTTTATCTGTTTCAGGGGCATTTCAAGGTAATATAACTGTAGCTACGATGAAGAACAAATGTGAAAAACTTCCTAATAATTGACTAATAAGCTGAGGCTACAATCTATCTCCCACTAACAACTGTTTTCCAAAGTGGTAGAATATAATTACCATCAACAGTGTTTGTTACAAAAGTAAATTGATGAAATAAATTACATGTAGGAATGAAAAACTGGGTGCAGCTTTAAGGTACTTTTTTGGAAATATGATTTATGATAAATGACAGGTGGTGATATTATTGCAACTACAATATTACAAATTTAAAAAACAAGTGTAGTTGGAGAATTATACAACCAATAGAAACCTTACTGTTTTAATCTTAATTTTTGTCCTAATTTTAGGTAAGAATCCTAGAGTCCAATGGAATTAAGAGAGCTTATTCCACAGGTAAGTATTTCATTCATGTGTGCATCACCTGGAGCACAGTTAGTTGAGTGTGTTCTAACTGAATGTATACAATAATTGTCTTCTTAAGTGAAAAGCGGAGTGATCAATATCTTCCAACTACCCAGTTTAAAATGGCCTATGATAGTAAATGTTAAAAACATCAGTGTTTACATTAGTTTTCATTAATAAATTTACTGTTGCTTAAAAATCAACTCAATCATATTACTTTTTAAAATGAAAGAAAAAATTCAGCTGACAAGGTGAAAAGTAGAAATACAGTCCTTCAATAACAAATATACTACACTTTCTCATATAGGCTATAATGAAATTACTATGAAAAATCATAGTACTATTTTTAGTCACAACCATCAGGATGAGCCATTACTATTAGCAATCATCTACATAAAACAAGCAAAAGATCAAATCTCTACTCCAACAAAAATTAGCTATTGAGAAGTCATTTTAATCGTTCTAAGTATCAAATGCCAACAAATTTCTACTGTGTGGCTTTCAGAAATCAAAGCATTGTAAGTTTCCTGAAAGCAGACAAAAAGGAGAAAGACAACCTGAGGGCAGGTAGAAATCACAACCTGTTGCAGTCAAATTGAGATAATGAAGGAAGGTGGGCAATTTATATGTTCAAAATTAAAGAACCCAAGGTGGGACAGAGAGAAAGAAAAAACATATAGTTCCATAAACAAAAAGGCCAGGTTGGATAAGAGGTAACCTAGAATTTCTCACAGTCCCGAATCAGCACACTGAAAGCTTGTTCAAAGATAAACAAAACAGCTTCTCACACGAAACTCTGAAGTGGGCAAGGAGGAAACATTCCTTTGCACTCACAGAAACCAACCCCCTGATCACTCGCATGCTATTACTGAATTGGTCATGATTTCCCGGCATTTGGCCTGGCTAATGGGCAAAGGAGAGGAAAGAAGGGTCTGCTCAAGGGGAGCCTAGGATTCCAGAGGCCTGGGGAGGCATATCCGAGGCTCGGGGAAGGAGTTAGAGAGGGGGCTAGTACTCCTCACCGTGATTATCTTTCTGCCCGATATTGTGCGTGCGGATGAGAGAGGACAGTCTCCTCACATCCCCCTTGAAGACGCACTCGTGCACCGGGTAGTGTGCGGGGCAACTGCCTCCATCTGCGACGACAGCAACGGGGTTGGTGCCGGCTAGAAGGGCCGGGGACTGGGAGATGGTAGTCACAGAGGAATTGTGCAGCGGCAGGGCCGGGGCGCCGGGGGGATTGGAGGAGGCCGGAGCTGCCTTCAGCTGCAGCCGGTGGTGATGGTTACTGAAGAGCTTATGACAGGCTTTGCCGCCCTTGCCGCTGCTGCCTGTGCCAATTCTGCCTCCGGTAAAGGTGCCGCCGAGGGCAGCCGCCGCTTCCTCATCCCCGGGCTCCAGCAGATCCCCCTCTTCTTTGCTGGGCTTGTGGTCCCTCCGCAGTGAGCGGATCTTCTCCCCGGTCATCGCCGCCGCCAGGGGCGGGGGGGGATCCGGGAGGCTCACCACCGGCGACGGAGCTGGCGCTGCGGCGGCACAAGGCGATTAGAGCGGTGGCCAGGAGCCTCCAGCGCAGCATGAACTCCCAGAGCACCTCCGAGCCCGGGACAAACGCATCTCCCGGAGGAAGAAGAGCTGGCTCTCGCCTAGGCCCGAAGGGACGCGCGCTCGCTGGGGGGAGCTAGAGCTCAGATGCCCACGACACTAGAATCCCAGTCCCGCCGCCACAGCCGCCACCTCCACTGCCTCACACCGAAAAACAAGGCACGGCCATCTTCCCCTTGCTCCTCTCGCGAGAGCTCCCCCGGGAGCGAAGAGGGAGGAAACACCGCGATAAGTGAGCTGCCCGCTCCTTCCCCCGCACCTTCTTTTCCCAAAGTCTCCGGGCGCCGGCGCCTCCCAGGCAGCGTGTTTCCGCCGGAGGCTGTAGTCTTGGAGCTAGCCGATCGAAACACAGCACTCACACAGTCAGCGCTTCTTGTGGGCGGTCTGAAATCTTAGCTGTGTTGGAGATGTTCCGTGCACTTTATAAACAATCACTTAAACCCTCCGACCTCTGAGCCTCCCGCAGAGAAGTGCAGAATGATGCCACTGCACGCAGGATGTGATGTCACTGAGATACACAGGACACTCATTCAATAAACATTTACTAAGCATCTACTTCGTGCCATACACTGAGCTAGTAGATTTATAAAGCGCTACTCCGGAGGAATGACAGTCAAACACCTGAGAACAATATCCAACTGAGCGACGAAAAAACAAAGGCGGGGAGCTGGGTAGCACACAAAAGGGAGGGGCAAATTTTAATGTTGAGGTGTCAGAAAAGTCATCACAGAAGAGTTTAGGGGCTGACCTTGGAAAAAGATGGGTTCAGAAAACCGAGAGACAGGAGGTCACTCAAATATTTGTTAGATGAATTTCGGGCAGAGTCAGAGTTAAAGTACAGGGGATGGGGTGGACACTCAAGGAAGGCAAATAATTGAGTAACTGGAATATCACTGGACTAGTTCATGGCCAAACTCAGCCTACTGTCAAATTCTAAAGTATTGTAAATCTTCCAACAATAAAACTTTGACAAAGTAACTAAAGCTCCAGGGCACAGGGGTCGGGGGGAGTAGTGGTGGGGGTTAGCAAAACGTCCTAAAGATCTTCACCCATTTATCTCTCCAAAGTCCCCATTTACTCTAACAGTTGGCTTCTCTCAAATTTTTTTTCTTAATCAAACTTTACTGCCTCCCCCCCACCACCTTCTCCGACGCCCCAAAAAAACAAAAACAAAAAACAACTCTGTGGGTCTCTGTTCATCCTCCAGTCACTCGGGATTTCATCTCCAATCTTCTTCCCAATCTATTCAAATCAATCTCTTTCTCTCTTAATTTCTTTGTTGGAGGAGGAGTTAGTTCCATTTATGTGAAAACGTTACCCAATCAGCACCTCAAAGCATCCTCCCAAGAAAGCAGTAGAGACTGAACACATATATACAATAACATTTTGTGCTTCCACAATAGCAATATTTATTGTTAACTCTAAGCCAGGCAGGCAGTATGCTTGGCACTCTTTATATGCTGTTAGCTCCTCTGATAAGCATTATTATCTTCACTTGACAGTTGGAAAAACTTGCCCAATGTCTCAATGCTAGAACATGGCACAATCAAGTCTGACTCCAGGGCTAGAGAGATAGGAAAGGCCAAATCATGCAGGCCTTTGTATTTCAACTTAAAAGTTTAAGTTCTATCCTACAAAAAAATGCATAGCTTTTTAGGTATTTTAAACAGAGGCATAGCATGATGAGATTTGCCTTTTTAGAAGGTTCACTCACTCATACTTTAGAAAATTATGTATCAAAAACAGATTACTGTGCAAGGGAACTATACCAAACACAAGGAAAGTAAATCAAATAGTAATCATGCTAACATACGCATGCGAAAGTCTGGTAGAATATATACATCACACAGAGTGAACAGTAGTTATCTCTGGAAGATGGAATTGCTAAATCATATATTCCCTGGATTTTTAAAAATTTCTTATTAATTTTTTAAAGAAGTGTATAGTAATTCCAGTAAGACGATGAAAACATGAAACAAGTTGGTAAGAGTGAGGCTGGAAAAGGTTTGAGTTGAAGTTCTTATTGCTTATCCAAAAGAGTTTATATGGTGTACATTTTGGTTATTTGGAAATGAACCTTAGGAGACAGAGAACTGGGTGTAGGCTAGATTCAGGAGTTATCATTATACAGTAATTGATGCCCCAGAGGTGGCTTAGTTCCCCAAAGAAGAGTATGTAGAGTGAGAAATTAAGAACGTCCAGCAGAATAAAAATTTGAAAACAACAATATTTAAACGGTATGTATAGGAGGAAGCGTATCTAGCATCCTATTATTACCCAAAATTTATACCAAATATTCTACCATTATACTTGTGAAGTATCTTATCTCTAGATCCAAAATTTAAAAGCACTTTATTAGTGGCTGCAACCCACAGATGAATGTGAAAATGTATAAGTATCCCTCCAGTAAAATCGAACACCACAGACATCAAAAATAATATTCAGCCCTATTTTTTAGGGCTTACAGTATAAAAGGGAAAAAGTGATTACACTACATTGTGAAAAATGTAAGAATTGAAATTATATAAGATCTCAATATTATATAGAGTAAGAAGTTCTTAATTATATCTGGAGGAAATAGAAATCAGGTAATTAGGAAATCTTTCTGGAAAAGGTAATGTCTGAACCAGGTTTTAAAGATGGTATATGACCACATGAGTTGGCCAAATAGGCAAAGGGAAAAAGACATGATATGTAATAATAATTATTATAAAAATAACTATCATTTTTTGAGAGTTTACCATGTGTTAGGCATTGTTCTAAGCACATTTCAGGAACTATTTGATTTAATCCTCACAACTCCTCTATGAGGTACTGTCCCTATTTTACAGATGAGGAAAATGAGGGACAGGAGGGGATCCCTCAGCTAATAAGCAGACATAAAGAAAATGGAATGTATAAATATAGCATGGCATTTGAGAATCATTGGAGCAGAGTAGGTGGTAGAAAAAATGGTGGTAAATGAGACTTGAATTGAAGGCTGGGCTAGATCACAAAAAGCAAGGTAGGAAACTTGGACTATATATGGCAGGCAATGGAGTACTTGCAAAGGATTGCAAACACAGGAAAGACAGAATCACATTTAACCATTATAATGTGCAATCAACCAATGTCCCAAAGATTTTGCCCATCTTTCCAGTTTCACCTCTTACTACATTGCCAAATTCACTCTTTTTTTTTGAGACAGAGTCTCACTCTTTTGCCCGGGCTAGAGTGAGTGCCGTGGCGTCAGCCTAGCTCACAGCAACCTCACACTCCTGGGCTCAAGTGATGTTTCTGCCTCAGCCTCCCAAGTAGCTGGGACTACAGGCATGCGCCACCATGCCCAGCTAATTTTTTTCTATATATTTTAAGTTGGCCGATTAATTTCTTTCTAATTTTTAGTAGAGGCAGGGTCTCGCTCTTGCTCAGGCTGGTCTCGAACTCCTGAGCTCAAACAATCCGCCCGCCTCGGCCTCCGAGAGTGCTAGGATTACAGGTGTGAGCCACCGCTCCCGGCCCCAAATTCACTCTTCATTCTAACCAACACAATCCATGAACAGTTCCTTTTCCTCTTTCATGCCTCCATGCCTTTACATACGTTGTTCCATATATCCAGAACTCATTTCCATTTTATCCATATAGACAACTCCTTCAGTCTGTCAAGAATCAGTTCAAATTTTATCTCTTCTTAGCACAAGGGTTTCTTTTTTCACTTGGCAAAGAATTCAAGGCCAGGAAATTACACTGAACTAAACCTCTAAATAAAATTTAGCATGCCCTTCTATTATGAATGTAGGCCACAAACCACTATAATATCGGCATTAAGTACTACCTGTGATTCTGCAACCAAAACAAACCACAAATATTTTCATACCACATTACAGTACCTGCAGATAACTCAAAATATCATTTACATTCAATACTACCTTAGAATTATGTTAATAATTTTGACCATTGCTAGGTCTTGTTGTTGAATGAGTTAATAAAGAAGCATATACGTTACTCTATCACACATCTGTTTTTAAAAATATTTTGATAGCCATTTTGTTACACTAAATTTTCTTTGTAATCCTAAATATTTTATGCATTTAAAAACATTGTCCTGAAAATGGGTCCGTAGGCTTCTCCACACTCCCAAAGAGGTCCACGGCAAAAAAACAGAAGTTAGGAAGCCCTTCATAGGAATCATTGATAACACCTCTCCATCCGTCCCCTTCTCTCCTATCCCACAACCCATCATTCTGAATTAGAGGTCCCCTCTTTCTCTCCTTTCTAATTTTGCATTATAATTTCTGCAGACTCTTTGACATTCTTGTCTGTCTCCTTAACTGTTCCTTTGAGCTCTCGGAGTTCTGGAACTATGTGTATCATTGCTGTATGCACAGTGCCTTACAGACAGTGAATGCTTAATATTAATAATAAACAGTTGTTGAATTAATCAATTAATTACAACATAAAATCCCAAAGTATCTACAATGTACCGAGATAGCTGTGAGCTCAGACATGAGATGCTTAATAAATTTCTTAAGCAATCCAATCTGATTTCACTTAAGTTGACTACTACACCCCTGGATTCTTAGGTGAAACCCAAGAGTTGATATATCATTCAGGATTTTTTTTTTAATTTTCAAGTACGATTAAAATCTATGGAAATTGATACAAATAAGGGATTTACTGACTTACATAACAGAAAGGTGCAGAGATAGTCTTCAAGAGTGGCCCCTCAGAATCCCATGTGAGTTTTCGAATCTCTCAGCGTGCCCCTCGGTTTGAAGCGTCCTCCTCAGGCCAGCTTCCCTCAACAACACAAGATGGCTGCCAGCAGGAACGGGTCACGTGCTTGCCCCTTCGGGTCGGAGGAGGCCCTCCAGCCACTCAAGACCGGAGCTTGACAGTCGCAAAACAGCCACTCCAATCCCAGTGTCCTGCAGAATGTTGATTGGCTCAGGCCCGGTTTACCTGAACAAATCCCTGTGAAGGAGATTACCCTGATTAGTTTTGCCCAATCAGGACTCATCTCTGAGCTGGCGGTGTGGCCAAGCCCTCCAAACAGCAGCACTATTTCACAATGGAATGAGGTGGGAAAGATGTTGGGGAGATAAAACACATGAGTGGTCAGCAAAAGTAGTACGCCCTCCCAGAGACTTAAAGAGGATTTAACTTGGAAAAAACCTGTTATCACAGTATGTTGGATTAAATATGATAAAATATGTAGCGATTATCAATTATATTGATACGTATGAGTACATAACTTCATGGCAAATGATGTATTTTTATTCAAATGTTATTGAGATAGAATTCAATCCAACGATTCAAGTATATAACTCAACTACTGAATTTAATAGGTAATACTCTGTAATTCTACAAATTAGCACTTCTTAATTTCTTTCCTGGTATAGTTAAGATTCCAAATAATACTCAGTTTGCTTTGAATAGCAGAAAGCTTCTGATAAATGGGTGTCTTTTCAACTTTTTCTAGTGACAGTTATGTTAAATGTCTTACATGTTCACAAACACTCAACATTAACTACATGGTTAAGCCTGATTTTAAGAATGAATATTCTGAATTTTAGCAGAAATTTAGGTATTTG